TTGCTGTGGTCAGTCCACCAGGTGAGAGTTGAGGATGGGGGCTGGTGCCATCACCACTCTGTCCAGAGGGTGTCGGAGGTGGGATAGCCTGATGCCAGCCATTGCTGGTGGAGACATACACGGAGTCTGTGTACTTAACCATGTAAGCAGACATGCGCCCAAGTAGCTGAAGAAATACCCCAGTTGTAGTGGTTGGCCCAAGTGCCCAAGCAAGTCATGAGGTCACAAAACCTGCCCAGAGGGAGCAAGGCTCTTGCCAGAGATGGATTTAACATGTCTCCCACAAACTCTATGCATTGAATCAGCATTAACTGTGACTTTTCTACCATTATCAACAGCCCAAGCCGTGGCACAGGTGGAGAAGAGCCACATGCATGCAGATCTTCAAGGCCCAAGCTGGCCTTGTCTTTCTCGGTGGTTAGCAGCTTCCACCACCAGGACATTCAAGGCTGGGGAGTACAGGCACTCATGCCCCTTTGCTGGGATGAAGTACTTTCTTTCTGCCCTTTTGGAGAGGGAAGAATGGAGCAGGATGTTTGCCACACAGCCACAGTGATCCTGGTCACCCCTACGTGGAGAGGTAAGGTCCCTCTGGCCAGGACAAACTTGTCCAACATCCCGAAGGGAGTATCTTTCAGCTCCTCAAGTTCCTCCACTTGGAGGTTCAAGTTGGTAGCCAACTTGAGTACTCCCGCTTGCGTAGTTCCTTGTGGGCCTGCACATCATTGGGGGTGGGAACTCCAGTGGAAAGCCCCACAATGGCTTCATCTGGAGGCTGGTGGAGGTCGGAGCCTGTGTCCTCTTGTGGGAAACCTTGGGTTCTGGGAGGCGTTAGCAGAGGTGTAGGGGCCAATGGTGCCCTCAGTATACCAAGCGTGGTACTTGGGATGGTACAGAGGTGTATGACTGAGGCACAGGTTCAAGGTGTATCACTGAGGCAGCCAGGCCTGTGGCCACTGTGTAAACTGGGGTCTCATCTGCTATATCAGAAGTGCCAGATGAGAAGGTCACACTGGGGTACCCAGGCTTGGTCCGAGGCCCAGCTGAAGGGGCCGTGCTGGGGACTAGCAATGAAGCCTGGCGTTAATGCAGCACCAAGTGCTGGTCACTGACACCAACAACCAGGACGAGAAGCAGCTGGAATGGTCCTCTGGTGTCCTAACAGGCTTGGGAGTGGCTGCCAATTGCCCACAAAAGGGTACCAAAGCGCGGCCGGCCCCCAGG